ATATAGTAAAGCTAAAAGTATAGATGAGGCATTGAAGCTCTTTCATGAGATGTCTCATAGAGGATTAACCCCAAATACTGTGACTTACAATACTCTTTTAACAGGCATGTGCCAGGTAGGAAGGCTTTCGGCTGCTCTTAAACTTTTCAAGGATTTAATTGCCTGTGGCCAGGTTCCAGATTTGAGGACTTGGGCAATTTTGCTGGACGGCTTATTCAAGCATGATCACATTGATGACGGTTTGAGACTGTTTCAAGCAATGCAAAATTGTGGATTGAAACCTAACATTGTAATCTATGGTATCTTAATTGATGGTATGTGTGGGGCTGGACAACTCAAAGTTGCAAGGGAATTGTTTTCTGGACTTTCTATGAAAGGCTTAAAACCTGATGTCTACATATACACCATGATGATTAAAGGACTTTGCAAGGCTGGACTAGCAGATGAAGCATATGAATTGTTTAAAAAAATGGAAGATGATGACTGCTTGCCAAATGAATGCTGTTATAATACAATGATTCGGGGATTTCTTCATGATAATGATGTGTCAAGGGCAATGCAGATATGCGATGAAATGGTAGATAAGGGTTTTTCTGCAGATGCATCAACAACAGCAATGGTAGTTGAACTTTTGTCTAGTGATAGTGGAGAAATCTTGCAGTGAATAGTTTATGCTACACCAAAGATTACCGAAGTTAAATGTGAACAAAATTTCCAAATTGTCTAATGAAATATTTTTTTTATTCTTTTGAGTTTGTTAACAGTTGTTTTTGGCCATATGAGTTCAGCTAGTTGTAATGATTTTAGGTTGGAAGCAGCTGCTATGCTGGTTATTTCCTGCAGGGGAGGTCTTCAATTAAATTCTCTATTTTCCTTTCTTATTTTTCTTTCTTTTTCTATATTTTTGATGATGTAGACAAATTACTAATTGGGATTGCTCAGCAAAAAGGACAGTTTCTGCCTAAAACTACTGGTAAACTTCCATAGACTTTCTCTGTGGCCTGAGTTACTCTGTGTTTTATGGGTTATCATATGATGTGGATTGTTTCTAGTTATTTTTGGTTCTTAGCTTAGAGTATTTAGTTTGAGAGGTTAATGTAAACGTGTAATGATTCAAGCAAACTGATTGTGAGTTGGCCAGGTCTTCAATACAGTACAGGCCGAAGGACTCTGTGCGTCTGTGTCTTTTTGGCAATGAAGAACAGTTAGCTTGATTTGCCTTTCTAGGATATTTATACATTGTGCTACCATTCAAGATATCTGAATCCTGTGGTGGCTACATTGCATGCCTGCTTTTTGTACTTATTATTTACATTGTAAAGGGTTCTCTATTTGCTGAACAAAAGAAAAATACACACACACACATACACACTTTATGTTTTGGTTTCGAGAATTGGTGCCTATATTTCTGGGTAAATGGGAAAGTGTCTACAAGAGTTAGGTGGCGCTAACCATCAAAGATTCATCTTTATCAAGTCTTAAGGCAGTTTCATTTAAATATTTGTAGATACACTTTGATTCCACTGTTGATTAGGCATTTGTGTCTTATTGTTTCCCATACCAAATAGCTTTAACAAATCCCTTATTATGACTGTTCTGCTTCTCATCCAGTCCATGCATATGAATTTTGAGGATGCTTTGGGGAAACCTGGAAAGATTGCACTTACATGGATGTTGCTCGTCAACATAGTTCCATTAGAAGAGCTGTTGACAGGTTTGCAAGGAAGGACTGAGAATTTGTGATATCAACCAATCCAATTGTTTGACGGGTAATTTCCTAAAACTTGTTTCTGGAACCTTCAAACCATTCCTTTTAAAAAGTAA